TTCAGTCCGATTCGCCCGCCCGAGCAGCTCTGCACAGCGAGGCGCGGGCCGCCTGGATGCCTCGGAAAAGCACGAAGCAAGAGGGGTCGCGAGAGGCACCGGCGAAGGACGGCGGGAGAGGGGCGCTACTGTGCCCGGGTCCAGTCCCCAAACCAGCAGCAGCAGCAAGGGCAGGGCGAGGGGAGGCAGCAGGGCGCCGTCACACATGGTACTTGGGAGGAGCAGCCCCCCGGATGGTCGCGGCGGAGCAGGAGCGCGCGAGGCGGCGGCGCCAGCCGGAGTGAAACCCTCCTCCTGCCTCTGGAAAAAGTAATTAGCGCTGCGGACAAACCCAACGTGGTAAACCCGAAGCCCCGCCCTCTCCTCGGAGAACAGGAGGTGATTGGGCGCTTCCTTTCCCCGGCCCCGCCTCCCCCTCGCCTATTGGCTAGGACGGGTCCAAACCAGGGTGTGTTGTTAGGTTGTAAGCACTTTCTTACACGTGGTTTCTGGGCAGTGGCGGAGACCGGACGCCAGGTGGCGCGCGACCCCGGAGGACCCAGGAGGGGACACCTTGAGGGACCACCATGGGGAAGTCTCTAATCATAGGAGTTTATCCTCATTTTTGAAATCCCCTGACCCTGCCGCCCCAGCTGCACAAGATGACAGGCTGGAAAGCGTCCTGGCCAATCTTGTCACCCCTAAAAGCGCGTTCTCTCTGCATCTGGATGTGTGCCGCTGGGCACTTTCTTGCACACCTGTGTTTGCACCCGACTGCTGGCCACATCCAACACAGCAGAATTTATCCAAACCCTTCACACAACCCGTTGTCTTTATCCTCACAGAAGCCAGCGGAACAGGTATGGCCACACCCTCGTACAGATGGAGAAATGTCATGGTGAGCTTTTTGGTGCAGCTTTTGTTGGCCAAAGAGCCACCTCAAAGGCCTGCCACTGAAAGCCGGTGAGTAGCAGCCAGGAGAACAAGTGCTTATGCCACTGGAGTCAGCCTGAAGGAGTCGCTGTCAACCTAACAGACGCATGCAGACTAAAGCAACAACTAGACAGCAACCAGACTGCGCAAAACCCAAGAGCTGGGAAACATCGAGAATCGGAGAGGACACGCTTGTGCCCATGGGTGGGAGTGTAAACTGGCGCAGCCACTTTAAATAATAACTGGGCAATCGGTAGTAAAATTTAAAATGCATACACCCAGCAACTCTGTAATTCCCATCTGGTTAACTACCATGGAGAAGCAATGGCACAAGGACAAGGATGGTCACCACAGCACACTATTCAGAGAAAAAGAAAAAGTTGCAAAAACCTGTATGTCCATCATCAGATACATGGCTAACAGAACACTAGGCATCAATGAACAAAAATGTAGTAAGATGGTGTTTATAACCACATGGAGAGACATCCAAGACTAGCTGACAAAACTTTTCTTAAAAAAATCCAGTTGCACCTAGCCGGTGTGGCTCAGTGGTTGAACGTCGACCTATGAGGTCACAGTTCCATTCCTGGTCAGGGCACATGCCCGGGTTACAGGCTCAATCCCCAGTAGGGGGCGTGCAGGAGGCAGCCGATCAATGTTTCTCTCTCATCATTGGTGTTCCTCTCTCTCTATCCCTCTCCCTTCTTCTCTAAAATCAATAAAAGCATATTTTCTAAAAAATCACTATTTGCCATAACCTCATTTCATGTTTACACACACAAATAGCTTTGTCTTAATTTTTTGGAAGGGCAGGGCTTAAACCCATTTCACAGATGGAGGAGTCAGGGGTCAGGGGGAGATGAACACAAGACACGCAAGCCCACCGAAGCCCTACAGGTGGCAGCAGAGGCCTGAATGTGACATGGGGGCAGCTGGCCTTGGTTGGCTCTGGGTCAAAACAGTTCCTTGCGCTCACTGTTGACAAAGCTCTTCAACGGTGTGGCGTGTCCACCTGCGTTTTGTGAACAACTCTCTCCTGGTGGGCAGAGCTTTCCCATCATGCTGCTGGAACAGACACCAGCAGGTTGGTCACGTGCCTCTCTTGGACACTTCATGCCCGACAGTCAAGCCTGGGTGCTGACAGCCATCACCGTGCCTGTTACTATTGCTACTGAGAGCAGATGACCCCTGGGCAGTACAAAGAGGACTGCAGGCCCTCAGCCCAAACTTGACCCTCGTTAGTCCCCCCTGACTCGGGCCTTTCTTGAGCTGGTGAGCTGGGTGCAGGCGCCTAGACCCGTGTGTAAGCTCCATCCGTGTGTAGGTGGGAGAAGACCCATGATCCTTCCAGAACCAACTGACGAGACATTGGGAGGGAGGGTGAGGAGAGAGGGTGCGAGAGGGGATTCCCATGACAAACGCTTTAAGACTAAATTCACTTGGTCCTTGAGCCATCCATCCATCAGCAGCATCATCTACTTTGGTGGAAACCAGTAGCCATGGCAACCCAGTGGCAAAGCCTATGTGTGCAGAGTTCCTCATGAAAGGGAAACCAGCCTTCCAGAACCAGCTGACCAGCCACTGGCCAGGGCAGGAGGTGAGGAGAGAGGGTGTCAGAGGGGATTCCTTTGAGTCTAAATTCACTTGGTCCTGGAGCCACCACCCATCCCTCCTCCTAGGAGCCCATGAGATGTCCCATGCCCTCCAGCAGGGGGCGTCTGGCACCAGTCCCCTCTTCCTTCTACAACCAGAACTGCTGTGAAATGCAAGCACAGGCTTGCTCTCCTCAGCTCCAAAGGCCTGGGTTCTTCTTGTTTTCTTTCTTCTTTTTTTTTGTAGTTTTTTAAAATTTTTTCCTGATTTTTATTTTGCCCTTTCCCTGTAGAGCCTGGAGCCCAGCCTAAAATGCAGCTACTTGGCCAGCATCCTCATCCCCTCGGTGACTCCTGCCAACCTCTCCCTGTGGGGTCTGCATGCACCTCCCCACTTCCTGGGTCTGTTTCACCGTGAAGGGGTGCCCTAGCCACCCAGGCCATTCCTGCCCGACTCTGGGGATCACCACTGTCTGGAAATTTCGGCTCACCCAACCAGGCCCTGGTAGTGATATTGCAGAACAAGTCCAAGTACTGCTCCTTAAAACATTGATTTAAAAAATTTTTTAAATATTTCTAATAGGTTCTTAGAAAGAAGAGAAAGGGAGAGGGAGAGAGAAACATCGATGTGACAGTGAAACATCAATCGGCTGCTTCCTGCACACCCCCTACTGGGGATCGAGCCCCCAACCTGAGCCTGTGCCCTGACCAGGAATCGAACCCCTAACCTCTTGATGCACCGGACAATGCCCAACCAACTGAGCCACACCGGCCGGGGAAAACACTGAGGTTTTTTAGTCTAGCTATTGTTCTCTCGGGGTTTCTACAGATGTATCCCTAGCCCTGCTCTTCCCTAACATCTTGAGTCGCCCTCTCCCCAAAGAGTGCTTTGGAGCTGAATGTCCACGGCTTTCGAATGTCCGTGTTGTTGAAAAGACAACTGTATCTTCCTGTCCCTTCCAAGGGGGGGGGAGGGGGAAGGCAGCCTCTGACAAAGGGGACCTTGCGCTCCTTTTTCTCTAAATGAGCAGGACAGGGGCTAGAGTGTGAGGCATGAGCACAGAGCGGCATCCCAGCCAGCCAACTCCCCTCCCTTACAGACGACGGAGCAAAGCACTGTATGTTCTGTCACTCAGCAGCACACCGGGCCCTTCTCAGCCAGCTTTCTCCCATCTCAGCGCCACCCCTCTGGTTCCCGAGTCCCGCTTTCTCTCCCTGTTCTTTTCTTTGCTCCAGGAAAGCAGCTGGTCTGATGGACGAGGCTCGAATGTAATGCAAGGACGGGCGGAAGAAGGGAGCTGACCCCGATTTATATTTGATTTTAGGAAATGCCGATGGTGATGGCTCAAACTGGTCGAGTGACTGATGTTTCTCTCTCTCTCTCTCCCCCTCTCCCTTCCTCTCTCCAAAATCAATGACTATGTATTTTTAAAAACTCAGTCATTGCAGCTCACAGTATTAACAAGCTGACGGGAGGCCAAGGGACAGGAGGCCACGTCAGGGGGCTGATGACTGTTGATCACTGTGATCGCTCATGAGTGTACCCGTGTCAGAACTTACCCACTGGTGCGCTTCAAACACGGGCCGCGGGCCACACATTGCGTGTCAACTAGATCTCCATGAAGGTGTGGCAAAAGGCAGTGTTGAATTGAAACGTGAATCATTTGACACTATGTTTATGTAATGAAAGCTCAAAACGACGTTGTATTTCGAAGACAGAAAGTGGACAAGGAAGACATACGTTAAACACACAGACTGCCTTCCTCTCTCGGGGAGTGGAAGGCGAGGGATTGAGAGGAAAATAATGGAAGAGAAGAAAAGAGGGTTCTGGGTGGCCCGTGAGGGTACCATGCAGTGTGATCGGGTCCCATCTCAGTCCCGCTAAGACCCATCCTTGGGGGAGGGCAGGGGAGGAGTGCAAGAGAAAGCTGGAGGAAGGAGAAAAAGAGTTGAGTCGGAGGGAGGGAGGGAGGAAGAAACATAAAGGGGGAGGGGGAGGGGGAGGGGTGTGGGGACAGACACTTAGAGCTGAGAGACAAATGCATTTTGTAGAAATGACTCCCGTTCCGCTCTGCAAACGTGCCCCTGGCTAAGGGCCAGACGGCCGGCTATCTAAGGGTGCAGTTGCCTGGTTATCAAATTCCCCCTCCCCGGAGCCTTCTGGAAGTGGCTGCCAAGAACAGAAGGGGGGAATTGAGCCCTCTCTCTCTCTCTCTTTTTTTCCCTGGGACCTGATTTCACGGTTACCTCACTTTATTTCTCCCCGGGGACCCTCCGGCCCCCGCTGCAGGTGGGGTGGGTCGTGGGAGTTGGGTCAAGTGCTAGGATTTCACAAGACGGCACGTGAGCCTGAAGGCCAGACGGATGCCAAGCCCCTGCTCAAAGCCGGGGCCTTCGAGCCAGGTGTGGTGTCCCTGACCCTCCTCGCCTTCCTCTTCCTCCCTGTCCTGAGGCAGCAGGAGAGGAGGCTGGGGCGGCCCTGCACCCTTCCCCGGGGGTCCCAGCCCTTCCAGCGCCCCAGCATGTGGGTGTGGGGAGGGGAGGGGAGGAGGGATCTGCCTGTACCACCCCCTCCTTTGCTCATCTCTCTGCCACCCTCCTGCTGGCTTCTCCAGGTCCCAAGCACAGGAAGCTCACATCCCCAAGGCCACCCGCAGCCGCCTCTCCACTAAGAGCCAAGACCATGGCTATTGGGGCTGCCCACGGGGTGCTGGGAGCGAGAGGGGTGAGGGAGGCAGGAGGGGCAGGCCTTGAACTTGGCTGGTGCTGGCGCTGGCGCGCTCTA